CCCCCGGGCCCCTCTGTGTTTAAGGCGCCTGGCCCGGCATCGGCAGGGCCATGGGCCCTGTCGGTGGGTCGGGGCCAGGTGGAGACGGTGAGCGGGTCTGGAAGGTCCCGGAGAACCTCGGAGAGCAAACGTGTGGTTCAGGTGTTTCATCATTACTCCAACTCACAAGGAGGGGAGGTCCCGTGAAAGGCCTGGGACACTCGCCCCTCGGCCTCCCTGCAGATCCGCGGCTCACGGGGCCTTTATTACGTCACTTACGTTCTTCCCACGAGGACCCTGGGGGCACAGTTTACTGTCATCTAATTCCTTTGAGGAAGATCTATTCCTATGAACAGCTGGTTTGTTTTCAGTACCCGACACGTCACAGGGCTGTGCGAGGCTGTGTCTTCGTTGAAATGAAATTTCGGGACAGGTTTCTGGCGTTTCCCGAGGGACGTGTGACCCCGCAGAGCAGCCTCCTTTCAGATCCCACACGTCCGTCCCCCTTCGGGACCCGACCTTGCGGCCGCCCATGTCCCTTATGTCTCCTCGGCCTCTCTGCCTCCAGCTACAACCTCGGAGGTGTCGGCAAAGTGGGGTGTAAATGAAAACAAGAAAGAAAAATGCTCCCGTTTCTCTCCACCGTCCCCCGTCTTGCGAACACCTGACTTACTGCTTCGCACACCATGACTCAGACAGAATTTCAGGGGGTTGGGTCATGTACGGGGACCACTCCGAGGCTAACGGGAGAAAATCAAGCCACGAGGACACGCACATCTGCTCACCATGGATCTTCTGCCGTAATTTTGCCCAAAATTCTAAGCTGGCCTTTCCACGTGGTCACGCAGCAGCCGGCTGAGCTGGGGGGGCGTCGGCTCCACCCCGGGTTGAGTCTGGGCACCTAACATCCCTGCCACGGTCCTCACTGCAGAAAACACCCCGATTTTATCCCATTCACGCCGTTAGGACGTCACCTGAGTCATTGGTGGGAGGAAGGACACCAAGGGCAAAGGGGGGCCCTGACCAGAGGCCCAGCTCACCCTCGGTGAAAACCAGCCCGTCGCTCCCTGTGGACGGTCCCCTCTCCCTGTTCCCTGCTGTCCCACAGAACCTCATTTACCGTGTTTTCCGCAGGGGGGCCCCCCTCACCAGCGAGCCGGGCGGGCCTGGGGCCTGTGGGAGTGGGGGGCTGTCGGGGAGAAGCTGAGCCGGCTCCTGGGAGCGACGCCCACGTCCAGGGACGGTCACTGGGCGGACGCACGAGCTCCGGGGTCGGGATCGAACAAGCTTGCCCAAGAAATCCCGGGGCAGGCCGCCCTGTGCTCTCGCCCCAGGCACTCCCCCCACGGCCACCAGGGCAGCAGTCGGGGTGCTGGGGGTGCAGGAGGAACAACCAGACACTCAGAGCGGCCGAGCCGACAGCAGGCCGAGTGCGGCTTCGCCCCCGGTGGGCGGGGGTCAGGGTCCCATTAGACACGAGGCTCCCCGCCCGGTCCCCCGCCACAGGCCACACAACCGACCGTGTCTGTGACTAAATGTCGACTATCTTCCTAACTACAGTTTGGTTAAAATGTCAAGTATATATTTTAAGTAAATTAGAAAAAAAAAAATCACTAAATTAAATTTTATTCCAGTGAACTAATGGCTTTAAAGAAAATCTCTGAAAAGCCAAATGTTGCCAAACTCCCGTTCATAGGTGATAGTTAATGACATTGCCCTGCAGGCCTTACACTCACGTGGGTGTCCTACGTCGCCTACAAAAAGGCCTGGCCTGGCATTACAGGTGACGTGAGGATCGTGCCCTTAGAGTCGGCGGTGACCTTAAATTAGCCCACGTTTCACCGATTAAATTAACTTCCTCAGGGCCTCAGGCAGCCACCGCCCGGCTGCGTGGGCTCACCGCGGCGGACAAACGGAGCCCGCCCGGCGGCCCCGGCCCTGGATGTTTAGACCCCGGCTCTAGGTATGTTCAAGCAACCGCCCCGCTGCTAGTACCTGGAATAGGGTCCAGGCCACGGAAAGAAATACGAACGGATGAACCACATACGTCCAGAGACGGGGACGCGTGGAACAGAGGTAATACTTCGAACCATAAAGATAAATTTAAAAATAAAGCAAGTATACGGGGCTTACCGTTTTCCAGAAGCTATTTATTTTGTAGTTGTTACTGCTGTAAGATGCACTGTTTCTCTAGTCGCCTTATTTGAGCCTGAATTTTTACCATGTTTGGTCCCAAGGACAATGTTGCGTAACCAGGATCGACCAGTTTTCCCTTCATTCAGATACTTGCCGGACATCTACTGAACGTATATTCATGACTAATCCATTTCACGCATTCAAGAAACTTACCGTCTAGAGTGAAGCTCGGGAAATGCTTAGGACGATGCTGGAGGGAAGCAGACGGGGTGATCCGCACAGGTGTTCACCC